TTTAGATCAGATGCCTGAAAGTCCAAACAAGAAGAGTTTTCAAAGCATGATGTCACAGGAAACCTGAACATTTTTCAGTAATTTGATTACAACACCTGTTGTTGTTTGTCTTTCTGGTTAAAAAAAAACTATACAAAAAAAAACAGAACATTTCTTGATGAATTTGGTCTTACACACCTGGAAAACTTGACAATTATATTAACAAAAAAAAAGCATTGGCCAAAGTGGCCTTTCCTCTTTCATTCTGAAGAAAAAATTAACCCAAATTCAGAATTAAAAAGGAAAAGAAATGGCAAAATGTGGAGCTACAACACAAGATAAAGGATTCCCCCACATCTTCTTTTCTTTCTTTACTCTGACACATAACTTGTGACCCCCCCCATCCCTATTTTTTACGTGTGTAAATGTGTCTTGGACATCAGAGGTGTGATACGTGTGGACGTCAACATTCAGGACATCGACTTGGACCAGTGTATGCCCGGAGACAACTGGTTTGCTGATACTCACCAATGCAATCGCACCACCATGGAGGTAGGCCAGTGGGAGAAAATTCTTCCACAGTACTGTAAATGTACGGTAAATGTATTTTTCTATAAATGAACCAAATAATCTGTAACCAAAGAGCTGGTCTAGTACAAAGCATGAATCAAGTATTTCTTTGAAAAACACATTGGAATGAAAATAAAATAAGATGCATTCACAATCTAAATTTAGAGAAAATATGATGACTGTAAATTTGCCGTTTATGGACACATTTCTCTTTTTAGACTCAGGAAATCGAACTAAAAGCGTTGCCAGCATCTAAAGACATGACTTCATTCAGTACCACAACTGTAACTTTTGAGTTAATCTCCAAAAACTTTGTTTCTACAATGGAAATTAATTGATGGAGCAAATCAATTTAAAAATTGTGCAACTGTTCGGTACAAAGTTGTAGAATCAGAAACAGTTACCTAAGTGGGGTACAAAAAAAAACATCCAGCTATTACAGAAGTGAGCTCATAGGTATGGATTTAGTTGCTCACCTAAGGATCTCTCATTGCTTTCTTCTTGCAACAAGCATTCTTTATTGTTCAACATTTTGAATATTCGTATTATAATAAAATTCTTTTGTGAGCACCGTGTTTCAAATATGATTCAGCTCAGCTCACGGTTAAACTAATTAGCAAGACTTTTGGCTGTCTGAAAAAAAAATTTGACATATAAAATATTAAGCATTAAATCAAAGGAATTAAACCATTTCAACATGTAACCAACCTTGACTTATTCATTTGTAGTCAACAGCTTTCTCATTCACTCTATGAAGCAGTAAGTATTTATCTGAAAGTTAAAGAGGTAAAGTTGGAAATAGCTTTACACTTTGGTGCCTAGTGTATAATAATGTCGGTGTTTTCTGAGGACAGACACATCATTTCAGAACATATCTGCAAACTTACCAAAGACTTTTCAGCTAAGATGATATTTTGGGACACCTGGAAATAGAATTTTTCCTGTAAGCACTAAGCATCGGGTCTTTAGAAGCAGGAATGGGACTCATTATCCGTATGTAATAGATGGTCATGGTTTCAAGGTAAACGTTGATATTTCCCAACTTTCCTAACCTAGCTTCCCAATTTGAGTGCCTGGACCCGACCAGTAAGGGGCTGAAAGTGAAAAGTATGGTCTTTACTCCACTGAATGGAGGCGGCCTGTCCAAGTTTAGTTAATCCTGGTCTAGAAGAACATCACTTAATCAGGAAAAATGGCTTCAGTGCAGAAGGAACCCTTCAGAGTTTGATATCAGGGTGCTTACTAATATAATGAACCAGTTTATTTACCTCATTTTATGTGAAATGTCGGCTTCATCACATGGAGGACTGTATTATTTAGCCAAAAATGCTCCTAAAAATAAACAAAACAGCAAGTAAACCATGAATGTACATGAACCAGCACAAGATTTTAAATAAAAAACGTGCTCCAAGGTGATCTTTACCTCAAATCTCACGTTTGTTAGTATTTCAGCTCTCCTCTTTGAATGTGTATGTGGCAGTTATGCAAGCTACTTATTCATAAAAAATACTTTCTGTGTGTCCTGTGGTGCAAATAGCTTTGACAAAACGACAATGATTGACTCCCTTGTAACGAGAACAGGTTGGTGATTACATTTTGAGAGTTACAGTCCAACTAAGGTACCACCGATGCCTTAATTACATTTTGTGATCGTCCAGACCAGTTTGGAAAACTTTTCTCTGTGCTCATTTCTTAATTTAGATTTTTTTTCCCCATTCATTCCCGCTCATCCGCCCGCACCCCCATCCGCTCCCGCTCCACCTTCCCTTTCCCCGCCCGTCTATCCGTTCGCAGTCAATCCTCTACCTCTCATCTCGGCGGTCTATTTAAAGGTGGCTGTGCTTGGTAGCGGACTGCAGGATGATCTGATGGATTATGGCCATAATCCAGCTCTCTGACATACTTTTCCTTTATGCGTTGCACTCAGGGAGGTCTGAAGTACAAAAGTAGACTCCGAAAAACATCCCAGAAACTCGTCGTGAGCTCTTCAGATTCTGACTCACCTCTGTTTGAGAGTTTGGACACACTGGCTTAAAAAAAACATGAACCAAGTCACCCATTTTATCTTCTTGTTAGGATTTCTTTGCTTTTACAGTTCTGTCAAACACCATCTCTCTCTTTTTAGACTGCCATATCCATAAAACCTCCGATCCCCACTTAGAATTTTGCCACTCAGTGTTTCCCCATTTTTTGCATTATTATTTGTTTTCTGTTAAAGCTTTATCTTTTCTTATTTCTCTTCCTTTGTTTGTCCCTATTCTCATCATAGACCATCTCATACTTCATGCCTGACTCCAAAGTCACCAGTGTTTTTTATCTCTTCTCATTTTGGGTCCCCCTGTAACATTTCATCAATTAAATTCCATTTAATTCAAAAATACTTTATCTATCCCAAAGGGAAATTAAATGTTGATGTTACTAATTTAGTTAAGGAGTTTTTTTTATAGATTGTGATGGCTGTGGGCAAGAAGGATCTTCTCAAGCTGTCTGTTTAACAACCAATCTGAAGCAGCCTCTGACTGAACAGGCTCTGGTTTCCAGTTACAGTCTTATGAAGAGGATGATCGGGGTTATCCCTAAAGTTCTCGATTTTATGCTAAACGCTGAGGGATCTCAGCTTCCTCAAGAAAAACAATCTGTCTGTTATCTGGATGATGTAGATTTGTGGAAGATGTGGGGATTTTGTTTTGTTTCTCACATCAAAAGCAGTCACTTTTTAGTAGATTTTTTGTCGTTTTTCTTTCAGCCCTCCGTAAAAAGTTTCTGAAATTAATTGGTTTGGGATTTTCTGGTTGATCGCCATTTTTGTTCGTAGATATTGATTAATATTGTTAAATCTTTAACCTGCTAAAATCACCAGTGGTCACAGATATTGGTGGATGAAGTGGCTGAAGTTCCATCTTGGCATAACCAGAAATCCACTTTTTTTTTTTTCCCCGTGCGCTCCACAACAAAGTGCCAAGCCGTGAGGTTCAATTATTAGGCTGTCACTACAAACATCGATGCAAACAACAGGCTTTGGGGCGGCCATGAAACTGTAAAGCTTTGGAAGATTCCACTTAAACACGACGGATGAGGGAACTTATTCAATTCAGACGAGAACGTGAGGAGAATTAAGTTGACCGCCGTATAATCCGTGTCACTTTAAAGTTCAACGCGTTCCATTAGGTCTTCGAGCATCCAACGCGAGTTTGAATATCCATATGTGACACAAGTGTGTGTTTGTAAGCGTCTAGGTTTGTGTGTGCTGGGGAACAGGATTTCTCTAGAAAAAAGATAATTCTCTCAGTGGAGGCATTATGTATCCATTTAGCTTTTAGCGTAGATTAACCCACAGAGCTTCTAAGTGTGTGTATGTGTGTGTTTGTCTCCGGGTCCTGACTAAATTTATGCTAGCATCAGAGGGAATCAGAATGACAGAGAGTAATGTGACCCTGTTTTCAGCCTCCATCCGTTCAGGTGCTTTTAAGTTCAGAATAACAGTGCCGCGGATCTCAAATCCACACAGTTCAGCGTCATGTTGACCTGGGACGCACTTAACACAGATTGTGCCTTTTTTTAGGCTCTTACTTAGATATTTCTTGCTTTTTTTTTTGTCTGTGATGATTATATAGTCGATGATCAAAGAGAAAGTAAACATCAGTGACGGGCACAGACTGTTTAGCCTGGCACAATCAGATTTAAACCTTTTTTTAGATGCCCTGTGAACTAAGTTTATAGTGGATGGTAGGCTACACTGTGTAGCCTATTTAGAACCAAATATTTCCCCTAATACACTTGGAATAGTCGAGCATGTCAGACAGAAAATTCAACCGTTCCATCAGCTTATTTTTAAAAAGTTATCACACTTCTTGTTATTAACAATAATGAGTAATGAAATAGATCTACGTAACTAGAATATAATAAAACATTAAATAAATAATCTAATTAAAACGAGCCATTCCATAGTCCCGCCTTTACAATGAGTAGGTTTGTGGGACTGATTCAGGATTCAGTTACACTTTGATTGTAAGTGTGAATATTGCTGTTCATCGTTCTCTTTTTCTCTACAGGGAAAAGGTTATAGAACCATAATTTCCCCTAAAATTACTCTCACTGTTTTGAATAGTCCTCAATTATATTCATATCAGACATAAATGAATATAGGACAGCTCGGAGTTGTTGCTATTTTCTTTTAGTGGCTTATGCCCCTTTTTCTCTCTATAAAAGTTATTTGTGCTTGATTTAGACACTTTTAAATAATTGGACACAATGCATCCTCAACTTGATGTTTCCTGAAGCGTTTTCCTCCTTTACAACCCAAACAGTTTCTGGTTTTGAAGTTTTTGGCTGGGGCCCTTTCGTTATGCATTCACTCTCTTGTGCATGCATCAGTTCTCCCTACATACTCTGACATCACAGTCCAAAGACTGCATGTTAGAATAACATTTAGCGTTAAAGTGACACACTGTACTAATACAAATGCAGAGAGTCATAAACCAATTGGAGTCCTCCACACGGTTCTAAGCAAGACAAAGCAGATATGGAAAACAGATGAATAGATGTTTCATATAAAGGGGTTTTCTTTCAAATTGTCTCCCATCTCCTGAACTAAAAGGACCAAATATCCATCTTTGTTGACTTTCTTTAAGACAAAGTTTTTGCAGTTTTTAGGAGCCTTTGAAGGCTCTCATGCAGTCATAATTTTCCACTCTAGACGAGGACTCCCTAAACCCAGGACTGAATCATGGGAAACGTGTTTCTGTTTAAGACACAGAAGGCTTTCTCATACAGCAGAATTTGTGAGTTTTTGTAGCTATAGCTAAACCAGCTAAACCAGTTATCATAAGTAGATGGAAAAAATATTTTTGACAACACGTTTTGCAGTATTATCTGAAACTTTGGATGAGAAATTGTGAAATACAATCATGATGAGTTGGAAGGAAGCAGATGAAGAACAGAAAAATGAATTGAAAAAAAAAACTTATTGCACTTATCGGACGAATAAAAAATTCCAGAATAATCATTGATAAATAGAAAGAAAGTGAGGGAACCCACATACATTTAAAGAAAGTAACAGCTCCAGACATATAATTATTAAATGACTTAATATGATCTATTACTTTAACTCTGATGGTTGAAGTTTTTATAAATAGCGCCTTATCATAAATGGTGCTGATTCTTTCGCCTCAGATTAACGATTTGTACACACAAAAAACTCATTCAAATCCTAACCGAACATCAGAATAACTAAGTTCTCTCTCTGTTTCAGTGTGTGCCAGTTCCAGGCCGAGGCTTTCGGCTCGGTCAGTACTGCTGCCGCTGTAAACAAGGATATTACAATCCTGAGATATCCTCTGAGGACATGGGTAAGTCAGTCAACATCCCATCACACACGGCGTGAAATCACAAAAAAATCATAGCTTTTTATCCTTCACACTCCACTGTATACTGCCCATGTAGTTCCGGAAAATATATTTTTATACATTAAGTCTGAAAGTTTTATTTCAATTTTCAATTCGACTTGTTTCCACTACAACTTATTTTTACATGATTTCACACGAGGAAAGAAGGGTAAAAAAAATAAAGATAAAAAGATGAAAAACAACACTGGTTGAACATAAGTTATGTAATATGTAATCACTATGCAGTATCTCATGCAGCAGTGGCCTTAACCTTACCAGTTATTCAAAAATAATTGAAAATACTTCAGCGAGAAGTATTCATTATGTTTAGAGGCTAGATTGTGTGTGGGCACTGTATTCGGCATTTTGCATTTTGTTCCATCTGTTTTTTGTCCTAGAGCTCATTAATACGGAGCCCCCTAGGGGACATGGGGAATTTTTTTTCTTTTGCGTTCCCTCGCAATACTTTTGCGTTACCTCTCAATATTTTTGCGTTACCTCGCAAAACCTTTTGCGAGGTAACGCAAAAGTTTGAGGCAGCGTTCCGGAACCAGATGACAATGGAGCAGACAGTACACTTGTACTGTCTGCTAAATGTTAGTTATGTTAGCTTTTTATGTTTATTTTTACCTGTACAGCACTTTGGCAACTTCGGTTGTTTTAAATGTGCTCTATAAATAAAATTTGACTTGACTTGACTCCACTTAAAACATATACAACAGAGCATGGATGCAAAAAAAAAATGTATATGTGCTTTATATAACTTCATAGTCTGAGGTTTTAGAAAGCACATCCACCCAACGCAGTCAGTATGCAGAATAGCAGACAGTACACTCGTACTGTCTGCTCCATTGTCGTCTGGTTCCGGAACGCTGCCTCAAACTTTTGCGTTACCAAAAGGTTTTGCCAGGGAACGCAAAAATATTGCGAGGTAACGCAAAAGGTTTTGCGAGGGAACGCAAAAATATTGCGAGGTAACGCAAAAATATTGCGAGGTAACGCAAAAGGTTTTGCGAGGGAACGCAAAAATATTGAGAGGTAACACAAAAGTATTGCGAGGGAACGCAAAAGAAAAATAATTCCCCATGTCCCCTAGGGGGCTCCGTATATTAAGGCCCCAAATGGCCGTTTACTGACAGTTGAAAAAAGACCTAAAAGAATAAACTTTACACTGGCCGTTGCAAAGGAGATTTGAATGGGGGGTTGTCACATGGCTG